GTTCGGACTTGGGCTTTGAGGAATGCACCTTCAGCCATTCAGATCTCCAGATGGCAGAAACGCTGGGGGTAAAGGACCAGAAGGAGATCCCAGGCCTGGTGGAGGTGGGGGTGTCCCAGAGGAGGGATGGCTGCCGATAAAGAGCTCTGAGTGGGTCAGGTAGAAAGAAGATGAAGCGGACGGGAGAAGGCGCGGGATTAACTTGAGAAGTGAGGGGAGTTGGGAAGGTCCGGCTCCCCCACTGTGAGTCCAGTCGGAGGAGCAGACCCGGAGGCTGAGGTCAGCTGCCTGGACCGAGACAGTCCAGTGACTGGGAGACTGGATGGATAAGGCTTGTTTGAGCCGAGGGCTGGAAGCGGAGCAGGCAGCTGGCGGTCAAGCTCCAGAGCCACTTGGAGGGGGATGGGAGGAAGAGCCAGCCAGAGCTCTCGACAGAATCTAGATCTTTGGGTCCTCCACCAGGCTGAGGAGTTCTGGAGTGCCGGGGTGGTCGTCGCGGGTGACTCTGGCGCTAGGGGCTTTACTGGGATGAGGTGGATTCCCAATGCTCACAGGATTACGAGAAAATGTGAAAAGTGGAGTCTCGGGTCGTCTCAATTGCCCTGTTGGGGAAATGTTTGGGGGAGGTGTCTCAAACTTTATAATGCAAGCGATGATGGGTGGGAGCTGGAGAGATGGCGGCTCAGTGGTTAAGAGCACTTGCTGCTCTTCTAGAAGACTGGAGTTTGGAACTCCAGTTCCAGGGTATCCGACACCTCTGGCCTTTCTTCCAGGGGTATCTATCAGCTTTGGCCTCCTAGGGCACTTGCGTTCTCCTAGGCACACACACACACACACACACACACACACACACACACACACACACACACACACACACACACACACACACAATGTATGTATGTATGCATGTATGTATTCATTATTACGGGGGAATGAGTGTCTCTGTTGGTAGAAGAATCTGGCTGAGTGGGGGACCCAAAGATGAGTCTTGCATGCATATCATGGCATTTTATGGCAAAGGAGGGATTTCTTGTGCACTGAGTGGGGGGTGTAAGTGTAGAGAATTTGGGGTTGTTGAGATGGCTTGCTTCTGACTATCCAACCTGTCTAGCTGA